GTTTATTGTGGAAAAATATTTTAAAAAGATGTCCTGAAGTATTTTTGTAATTGTTTTTTAAGTGATTATGACACTTATAAAAACATAAATGGAAATCAAAAATAAGGACTGCAATTTTAGTAACAGAATATAAGATCAAATGGTCACACTATTTACCTGCTTGTGTTATGATCAGTGATCAGTGTGAACCTTTAGCTTCTCGAGTTTCTAAAAAAAATATCCCCTTAAGCAATTGTATAATCCGATAACTTTCTATAATGTGAAACAAGAAGCACACACACTTCGTTTCCATTTTCCCTTGCAACTTGTCATGACATTTTCACACCTCTTCGACACAGAATTCCATACAAATTGTGAATTTAGTTTTCTTATTCAAACTAAAATACAAAAAATAAAGGAAAGAAAAAAGCAAAACATACAGATAGCAGTAGTTTCAGGTCAGTTTATTCTTTGGAGAAGAGTCTTGGGCTCTTTCTTGTTTTGACAATTAACTTTAAATTAGTTGAGGATAAAAACAAATCCAAAAATATATATCGTATATATAGCACATATATTTTCCCCTAAAATTCAAAACAATAAAAACAAGTTGGACCCAAGATAAATCTACATTTTCTTGCTTTTCCCTGGACAGTCCTGGACCAAACTCAGATATGATGAAAGTTATAGATTGATAGATAAGGAAACCCGAAGGGAAAAGGATACAAAGGACTTGGGGGAAGCTTGGGAATCACAAGTGAGGAGTCGTCTCTTTGAGATGTCTTCCTCTCCTCTCCTCTCCTCTCCTTTTTTTTGTTGTGCTGTTTGTGCTGTTGTTTTGTTGTGTTTGTAGCTGCTGCTGCATAAAGGAGAGTGGAAAAGTGAGGAAAAATGCGAGCAAATAGTTTTCCGCTTGCCGCCGCATACAATGGGATTTGTTTAGGGTTGAGGGACAAAAGGTGGGGGAAGGGGTGGATTAAGGGCGGCAAACGGCAGCAACGGCGGCATGTTCTTTATCAATTTTATTTGTGAAATATATTTCCGAAACATTTGCCATTATATTTGCATTAGTAGCCACAGCTTCCGTTTTCCTTTGCCGCCCCGCCCAACTATGAGATGTGGCTCAATTCTGAAGACTGAGGACCCCCTTTTTCCAGTGTCTAAGTGTGCCGCTGGCATTTGTGCACTGAGAGAAAAGTGAATATAGATTTTATAAAGACTTTTTTAGAACATTTCAGGGTGAATTTTTTGATTAAATTTGATTTGTGTTTGCGAACATGGAACTTGGCCTAGTAAATATTTTGTCCTTTTGTACGGAGTGTGACCAGCTGCTTATATGCATCATACATATGGTCATACTTAGTATATTAATAGCTTTAATGTGACCAAAGCAAAGAAATAAATCAATTAAAACACTGTTCCAATGAACTCTCCTATTCTCCTCAGTGTGCGATTGTAAGACTGGACAATTCGACGCCAATGAAAAGGAAAAAAGGCAAAGCATAGGCATTCAAAGAACTATCCTAACCACGTTGTACATATATATTTATATATATTTATATTTAGATATGTATATATATATGGAGTCTATTCCCTGGCGGAAACTGCTTATCACACATTTCCACACAGCCACGCAAAATCACACACACACACACACACCAGCGGCAAACCAAAACCAAAAAATACAATACAGGAATGCCAAAAAGGAGAAGCAGGAAAAGGAAAAAAAAGATAAATGTACCATGGCGGTAAAGGAGAATAGAGAAAGGAGAAAGGGGACTAGCAGTGGAGTAGTAGAGTAATAGCACAAAGAATGATGCGTAGACATGATTTCCGTGCGGTTGATTCCGCTCTCTCTCTCTCTCTATTTTCCCCGGCACACTGCTTTCGATTCGAGACGGAAATTGTTAAATGGAAATTTCCATAAATTTCGAACAGCATGGGGTGGCAACCCTACTGATCGCTTTCCCACGCCACAGGACAATTGTGAGCCGCAAATTAGGTTTGTTGGAGTTTTTCTTTGTAAAGGCTTATTTTTTACGGCTTTAAGGTGGCCGTAAGGAAAATAAATGCATATTTTTCTGCATATTATATCCCTTTTTTTTAACAAAATCATCGTACCTTTTCTATAAATTGCACTTACAAGCTAAGGATATTTTATAGTCTGCATTTCTCTTAGTTTTTCCTTAGTTTTTCCACATCTCAGGACTCTTTCCACTCTTTTCATTTAAAACTTATCTTTAGAAAATTTTCTTTCTCCTTCTGCTTTTTTTTTTGTTTTATTTTCTGAGCCTATGCTCCACTGTTTTAAGAAGAACGACATCCTGCTGCTAAACTATTCGCTTGGGGATTTAGTTTCTGGTACCTTTTTGTGCGTTATCTGCATGATTTTGCATGCCCCAGAGAAGCTGGTGGAAAACTGGGCGCTGGAAGATAGAGGAGACTCAAGTGGTGGCATCTCAAGGCGTTACAGAAGATGGAAATGGAGATGGAGATGGTGGCAGCCTGGCAGCCTGGCAGCCTGGAGTAGCATGTAATTCATCTTATTCCCCAAAGACAACCACCAGCGACAAAGGAGACACGGACGCTTGAGCTTACAATTCCGGTGGGCAAATTTGTGTGTGGGGGGGAGGAAGGTTCGTTCAGGAAAATCCTTAGGAAAAGCTGGTAACTGGAGACGAGAGATGGAGACGGGAGAGACAGTCAAAGGCGTTGCTGTCGTCGCGTTTTGTGCGTGTCTCCATTGGGACATAAATGCCATTTGGCCCCCAAAAAAGGAAAGGAACAGGAACGGGACGAGGACGAGGTGGTGTGGCATTGAGGGGGAGGTGGACTCTTGGCCAAGTGGTTCTGTGCGTAGACCAGGCACGCGCCTCATTACCACCACCATCTCCACCCCCGCCCATCTTTCTGGCCAATCCCCAATCTCCTTTTGACGCATAAAATGCGTAATGAATTTTAGATTTCATTTCAATGGCACACAGAAAGAAAGTTATGGCCACAGGCGCTCGAGGATTTGCTTTTCCCTGCCTGCCTGGCCTCAGCTTTTCTTTAGACGAGGAAACTTTTATTTGGCCATTAAGTGCGTGAAGAGCAGCCGCCAAAGTGTTTAGTCCAATGGTCTGCAAATAGTTTTAGGTGATTCCCCAACTGGGTGTCGGGGAAATCTTTTCTCGACCAAAAAGAAATGGAAAATTCAAGCTAAAGGAAGCTGGAATATAAAAGGGTTTATTTGGGATCTTTCACTTGAACTTTGCTGCTCTTAAATGTGAATAATTTGCTGAATTTTAAATGTAAAGAAAGCTAAGTTAGGTTCAAGATCTTAACTTGTACTAAGAACTAAGAAAATATCAAGTATACGTACTGTGCACCTGCTAGACTAGACTAAAGGAAGCTTAATTATAAAGGGTTTATTTGGAATCTTTCATTTATTATTGCTGCTCTTATATTTGAATAATTTTGCTGAATTTTAAATGTAAAAAAAGCATAGTTAGGTTTAAGATTTTAAGTTATACAAAGAACTAAGAAAATATCAAGTATACGTACTGTGCACCTGCTAGACTAGACTAAAGGAAGCTTAATTATAAAGGGTTTATTTGGAATCTTTCACTTATTATTGCTGCTCTTAAATTTAAATAATTTTGCTGAATTTTAAATGTAAACAAAGCTTAGTTAGGTTTAAGATTTTAAGTTAAACAAAGAACTAAGAAAATATCAAGTATACGCACTGTGCACCAGCTCAGCTTTGATTTTATTTTTTAATCCAGGCAATACTCGTACCTGTTCCTTAATATTATTATTTTCAAAAGGTATACAAATGCGGAACATCAATTATTTAAACGTTTTTAGATTTCTCATTGGGAAAAACCCATTTGTCACCGCGAATCCAGTCTGAACCTTGCACTTGAACCACGCCCCCTCCGGAAAAACTGAACTATTTAAACAGCATTGAGCATAATTTTTCATTCAGGGTCGTTGGCTTGGCACTTGCCACGAAAAGCTGCGACGCTGCGGCTTCTTTTTTATTATCTGCTGCACAGCAGACAGAGGCAGAGAGCTCTCACCCTGCACCCCCTCCCAGCATCCTTTGACTTTTCCCAACCCCCTCTTGGACCACCGCCTGCGGTCCGAACTGCAAACATAATTTTTCTTGGTTCTAATGCCAGATAAACGCAGACAAGAAGTAAAATACATGAGACCAGAGCGGTAGCCAAAAAAGGAAAAAAAAAACGAGGAAAATAACTGAAAAACTACACCAAAAAAGGCAGGGAAAACCCCTAGAAAAAACCAAAGACGAAACCGAAAACGATGCTGAGAAAAAGTTCCTTAACCCCACCAGCAGCAGCCATCATATTATTTTCAACATTTATTTGCCATGCGTAAATACAAAAAAAAAAAAAAGGAAACATATATATGTATATATATACAGGGTAGTGGGAGTGGAGGGGGGATTGCAATTTTTTGTGCAATTTTCAAAGGCAAAGTGGTAAAGTAAAACGGAAAATGGGTTTTTCCAACCCGGGACCCAGACCCTTGCCTTCACTCAATAATAAATGCAAAACTGCAGCGGGAATGGAGAATTGCATTTTAGGTAAACATGGAGCTCTCTCTCTCCGTCCCTCTCTCTGTGCAAAAGAAGCTGCTATGGGATTTGGGAAAAATGGCTGGGAAAAACCCCAGTCATGGGGTGGGAAAAGTGGGTGAGCTTTCGGGTTAAATGGGCGGCTGGGCCACTGCGGGGTTAAGGCGTGTCCTGGCGCTTGTCCAATTGACGTAAATCGTGCCCAAGTTTTGGCAGCCAAAATGACTGCGGCTAAAGCCGAGACACGAGACAGAGACGAGGCCAACGATAGAAAGAGATAGAGAGGTTATAGAAAGAAAGAGATAGAGATAGAGAGAGATAGAGAGAGAGAGAGAGTATAGAAGGAACCCAAAGAGAGGTCAGCAGCCTCCAAAGTACTTATCGATAAAAATATATATTACCTACATCTATTAGATATTTTCAAACTTTTTGGATCTCAGCTTGCATGGTCTTTAAACTCATATTAATGGCTAGGCATAAGTACACCTAATCATCATCAGATTCGATTTCGACTCCAAATTCCACAGTATAAATTCTAAATCAAAAAAACGAAAAAATAAGTAACTCCCACAAGGCACCACCTAAAGAAACTAATTTAGAGCAGCATGGATCAGTCGAAGGCCAATATATCGACCATCGATACCGAGGGAGACTCAAAGTTACCACCGACCACGACCAGGGTGCTGCTCATTGGTTCCAGTCCCGTGACGGCAGAGATCGAGATCCAAGCGGTGCCGGTGCCTGTGGTGGAGGATACGGGCTGTGTGCTCCGGCTGCGACTGGCTTCCCAAGTGCCACAAACTAAACGGCGGCGTGTGTGTTTCCACGAAGGAGTCGTCGATAATGAGCATTTGAATCGTCGCAAATCGAAATGCTGTTGCATCTACCGGAAGCCGCATGCCTTCGATGAGAGCTCCTCATCGGCGGATGATGAGTGCGAGCATTGCTACGGACATCCGGAGGTCAAGACCCGAAATCGTTTGGAGAAGCAGCGGAAACGTCAGTCAACCTGCGGTTGCTGCTCCTGCGGATCATGTCAACAGATGACCAACCAAGGTGGCGGCGGAAGTCAGGAGGAAGAGGAGAAGCAGCTGGAGCAGGCCACTAAACAGGATTAGAGCGAGATCACAGGTGTAGAGTCCTGCGCAATGGAGAGCCATATCTGATGTTCTTTCATTAACAAAATTAAATGATAAGTACTATTTAACATGGCTAGAATAAAGCTAAAGATGAGATCTTTTTAAGAAGATATATATAGGATAGAGATTATCCTTGATGACCTTAGTTAATTGAATTTGTTTAAATTAAAGCTGAAGTTGAGATCTATTTAGCAGAATATATATAGGGTAGAGTTATTTTTGCTGATCTTAATTAGATTTGTTTATTCATGAATTCATGAAATTTAATGATTTACACCAAGATTAAAGCTGAAGTTGAGATCTATTTAGAAGGATATATATAGGGTAGAGTAATCCTTGGGGATCTTAGTTAATTGGATTTATTTATTCCTGAAATTTAATAATATACACCAAAATTAAAGCTTTAATTGAGATCTGTTTAGAAGGATATACCCATGTAATATAGAGTTATCCTTGCTGATCTCTTCTAATTAAATTTATTTATCAAATTGAAACGAATAAACGAATATCATATATATATCCTTTCTAAGCTTCAGCTTTAATCCTGGCATATATAGTGGTATAATATATGACAGTATTAAAGCTGAAGCTTAGATCTATTTAGGAAGGATATATATATGATAGAGTAATCTTTGACGATCTTAGTTAATTAAATTTTTTATTTATCAAAATCAAATGAGAAATACCATCTTACATGATTAGATTAAAGCTAAAGCCATGATCTATTTAGCAAGGACAAATACCAAAGTAATTCTTCCTGATCCCATTTAATTGAATTTCCTTGCAGTCACACATATTTTCCACTGCCTTTTACTATGTAGCTTTTCTCGTGGGAGGCCCAAAGAAAACCCCAAAAGAGGCGAAAATGCGCTTAGAAAATGCTATCCTGTTCCTGTCACTCAGCGGCCAGAAAACCGCAGAGGAAAAAAGAAAAGTGTCACGCCCCTTTTGCAGAGTCCCGCCCCTCCCAGTGAGCGCCGACATGTTTACGCCCCAGCAGGACTCCTCTCTCTACCCCTGACACTTAATCTCCAGGATACCCAGGATATCCAGGATCCCCAGCACCCAAGGACTCTCTCCCCCCCCCCAACTCTATTGATTGATTATGCGAACTGTCTGCGCGAACTTGTAACTAGATTAATGAACTTTTCGCCGTGGATGCAGTGCATCACGTACCCAATCCTGCATCCCTCCTCCTGCTTCCCTCTTCCTGTCTGCAGTTGTCGTGTGGAAATCCTCGCCGCAGTTTCCAGTTCTGGCCTGAACTTTGTGAGGGGCGGGGGAGGCGGGAAAACTCAAGTTGCCAGCATTTGCGAATGGCTTTGTGGCTGTTGTCGCCCTTCCCTGTTATCCTTAAGCCGGATTTCAGTTTAAATTGTAGGAAAATCAACTTAATTTGTAAGTTTAAATAAATTATTTTGGACTTTGACTATTATTTGTGTAGCTTAGTTCCCGGAAAATACCTTTTTCTTATTTATGACGTTTGCTACCGCATTTCCGCAATAGAATTTATAGTTTCTCTTCCCAAATATATAGTTTCAATTCCCTGCTTAATCTATGGCAACTGAAGCTGGAGGCCTCGCTTCAATATTGTCGAGGGCCAGAGGCGTGCACAAAAAAGAAAAAATAAGGGGGTTATGCAATGGCACAAATTTTGTGAACACAAAAAATGGAGCGAAAAATTTCTGTTTTGGTTTCTCTGCAGCTGCCAAACTTTGAACCCTTTTGCGAGTGTGTGTATGTGTGATGTGTGTGTGGCATTAAACCACAACTCAATATGCGCTCTAGGATATGTGAGTGTATGGGTGTGCATACGTGTGTGTGAGTGTGTGTGCCATATCTGTGTGAGTCAGTCGCCTTAGTCGTTTTTTATGAGGTCTCTTGGCGCTTGATTCCGCGGCCCCAAACCGCATTTGAAGTGCCTCCGCAAAAAGAAAAAAAAATACATATATATATAACATGTATCCATATATATATAGAAAATATATATATAGAAATGAAATGGGGAACATACAGGGAAAGAAAAAACAGCCTAGTTTTTATAGAAATATATCCAAAATAAGTTATTTGATTTAACATGAGCAAGCTTTATATATTTCCATTAATATATCATAATTCAGATATCAGATATTATATATTACTGAGCTTCTTAGCTTATTTCCCTCAAAGATAGGCTTCTTTTTTCTCAGTGCAGAGTTTGCATAACTCATACATGCATCGTACGAGTGTGTGTGTATGTGTTTTTATCCCATATTTGCAATGGAGCTCTAACTTTTTAACTTGGTCAATGGGTCGCCGTCAACGAAGCTGAGTGTTTCCTCTTTCTATATTATTTATTTTCCTTTTCTATATATGATTTTCTTTCATTCTTTCTATTTTTTTATGCTGCGCTTTGCTCTTTTCTCGGGCTTTTCTGTTTCAGTTTCAGTTTTAGGCAGTGAGAGAGAGAGAGAGAGAGAGAGAGTGTGGAAAAAGGATAAAAGAGAGCCGGCAAAGGATCTGTGCCAGGCAAATGATTCCTTCTCCTTCAATGATTAAGTTGATGAGGCCGCGGATGACATAAAAGATGCTTGCTTTGAACATGACACAAATTCAGGACATGCAAAGAGGGAAAACTGGCTGAAAAGCTGCGAAAAAGGAAAATGAGAGACTTTACCAACTAGGGGGGAAATCTCTTCAATACAAATTTAATAGTTTACAGCAATAATTCACACAAAAATTATACACAACCAAAATAAACAAACTAATCAGGTTTAGAAATGGGAAAATATATCTCTCATATGTATAAAAATAATCAGAAACACTTTAAAAGAAGTCTGTAATTAAAACATAATTAAACTCAAAAGATTATAAAGCCACAGAGCTAATCCTAAAAGAAACCTTGACTCTAATATAATTCACTAATTGCTATTAAAATTAATCTGGCACCCCCCGAAGCCAAGTTAGAGGTTGGAAAATGAGTGTGGGAGGAAAACACCTTTTCCTCTGGGCCAGCTCATAATACCCAAATAGCTTTGAGGTCAGCAATAAACAATTTGCGAGCAATTTTCACAGAAATATTGTGGTCAAGTGTAGGAAATGTGCCACAAGCCAAAAAGGACCCGAAACTCAAAAGACACAGCAAAATGGACCACAATGAGGGGGATGGAGCTGGAAAATGATATCTGTTTTTCGGGAGGGTTCGGGACGGGGGTGGCACCATTTTCCTCCCTTTGACCAGATACAAATAATGAGGCAAGCCACAACAATTACGGCAAACAAACAAACAAACCGAAAATAAATCTGGAAAAAATAAAAATAAAAAAAACGAGCAAATGGAGGCAGGTTGGGGGAAAACCTGGGGAAAAACACTTTATGCATGTAAACGCTGTGAAATGTGCCAAAGTGAATAATTTCTTTTTAATTTCCACTTAAGTGACTTTTAAATGCTTCACACATATACACAGCAAAGAGGGAAAAAGCAAAGAAGTCAAAGTGAAGTGGGGTGGGGAGGGTTGAGAAAAAAAGGGGCGGGGGAAAGCCGGAAAAACCTGCCAGACGACACGTCACTTTGACGCCCTCTGGTGTCGGAAATTGGCAGAGGCAGAGGGATGCGTGCGGCAAAGGAAAAATGAAAGGAGATTGACCCTCGGTTTGATTTTCCCCAACTCATGTTTTGCACACTCTTTTACTTCTGGTCTGCGGCTTTTCCGGGACTTTTCCCTTTAATGATCTTCGTCTTAATTTGTGCGGTGTTATTTGTATAACCTTTTAATCATTATTACAATTTGGTGTCTCCTTGTGAACCATAATTTCTTCATTTTAATGTATTAAAATATTATTTCAATGAAATATATTTAGTATTTGTTTCTCTCCCTTTTCCCAATGAATTCCTGAATCATTTTCCTCTTCATTATATATACATTTACCTCATGTTTTTCTCGTCGCCTTTATGGGCACTCTTATTTTTTTTTTGTGCCGATGCCGTTTATGTAATTGACTTCATTGCCAACAATCGATTCAAGTACAAAAGCAGCTTTCTTTGTGCTCTCAGTTTGGTTTTCCCCGAGCATCCTTACATTTCCTTTTCATTTTTTTTTCTTCTCTTCTTCTCTTGTTATTTATGGCTCACAATTTGAAGGCTTTTGAGCAATTTTTGAGCATCGAAATGAATCCCACTTGAGAACGCACAAAAAAAATGGTGAATGTGATATGCAAATAGGGCGGAAAAAAAGGAAAAGTGGTTGGAGGAGGGAAACATTGGCAGCTGAGTCAGCGAAACATTCTGCAATGGTGACAAGAACAACAAATGAAAAGCGTGGAAAATGCTGCCTAAACGGTAAACGTGGATGAGGAGGAGGGAAAAATCGTTTGCAAAGAGCAAGGAATATAAGCATTTAAAGGTTTTATAGTGGTTACTATACTTCATTGTAATATATATATTTAAATATTCAATAGTATTTAAAAATGTATAATTAACTTAATATAGATCTAAAATTATTAGTTTCCTCTCCAATTAAATCACAAATCCTCCCAAATTACGCATACGCCCTGTTAACATTACGTATACGCATGCATCGAGTCTTAGAAACACAGCAAACAGAAGGCCAAAGCCGTAAACATAAATAAATAATAATAAACAGCAATAAAATTGACTTCTCAAATGGTAGAGGTGGCCATTTTGACCAAATACACAAATCATGAAAGCAAATCATGTGAAGAGCAGCAGCACACACACTTTGGGTTCGGAAGGGGAGGTCATTTTTACGCTGATGTCTATGACATTATCAGCAAAATTTATTAAATGACAGACACATAAATATATAATATATTAGGCCATAAATATATGAGCCAGAGAGCAGGAGGGGAGGGGACACACACAGATAGCCAGTTTGCTGGTTGTGAGATAAAAACTCGACCAGAGTAATACCCTAGGAAGGATGATGATGATATTCCCAATAAATAACTTACTTTCCTGGCTTAATTAATTAGGGTATCTTTTGGGTCTTATAACCCATAGAAAGCTAGTAGAAATTTAGCACAAAAAAGAGGCTGGTAATCATAAAAACGAATTACAATATTTTAATTTGATGTTATTATTATCAGGCACACATGCTACACAAGTGCCATC